CAGGTAGCTGGGACTACAGGCACGCGCCACCATGCCCAGCTAATTTCTTCTATGTTTAGTTGTTTGGCCAATTTCTTTCTATTTTTAGTAGAGACGGGGTCTCGCTCTTGCTCAGGCTGGTTTCGAACTCCTGAGCTCAAACAATCCGCCCGCCTCGGCCTCCCAGAAAACTAGGATTACAGGCGTGAGCCACCGCGCCCGGCCCACTATTTGGACTTTTAACAGCATGTATTAATTTTGCCTATTCTTGATTTCTTATTGAATTATACAATATTCTTCTGTGTCTGGCTTTTTTGTTGAACATTGTATCTGTGATATACAGACACATGTGTTGCCCTTTTTCAGGCATGCATATTTCATTATGTGAATATACCACAATTTATTTATTGATTCCACTGAACATTTAGCAACTACAAATAAAATTACTTTGAACATCTTGTACTTATCTTTTAATAGATATAGAGACTAATTTCTGTTGAAGTCGATGCTAGATCATAGGGCAGGCTTATGTTTAGCTTTAGCAGATATTGACAGTTTTCCAAAGTTGTTCTACCAATTTACACTCCCATTAGAAATGTATGAGAGCTCCATTTGCTCCATATCCTTGCCAAAAGTTGATATTGTGAGTCTTGTTCATATTAACCATTGTGGGCCATAGTTGGCATGATGTTTCCTTTTGTCATCATTGTTTTGACTGGTTTAGTTATTTGTGGGAAGATTTAAAATTATTGATTCAATATCTCTAATAGCTATACATGTATTCAGGTTTTTAATTTATTTTTAAGTTAGTTTCATCAAATTATATTTCACTGAGAAATTTATTTAGTCTAAATTTTCAAATTTTTCATCCCAAAATAATTCAGTTATTGGTCTTATCTCTTAACACCTACAATTGAGGAGTCCCTTTTCAATCCCAATGTTTGTGCCTTTTCTCCTTGATTAATCTTATCTGATGTCCATTTTCTTTGTCATTGTAAAAATAACCAGATTTAGGTTTTGGTAATCCTTTCTATTGTTTCTTTGTTTTCTAGTCATCCATTTCACCCTTAACTTTATTATTTCATTACTTCTATTTTCTTTTGATGTTTTTTCCTCACATGTCCTTCTTCTGACTATACAATTGGATATTTTAGTTCATTAATTTTCAGTCATGATTTATAATATACATATATAAGGTTAGATTTTTGTCCTCTAAGAATATATTTATCTGCAGGCTACAAGCAGTGACATGCCATTTTTTTTTTCCTTGCTCTGTTGCCCAGGGCTAGAGTGCAGTGGCATCATCATAGCTCACTGCAGCCTCAAACTCCTGGGCTCCAGCAATTCTCCTGCCTCAGCCTCCTGAGTAGCTGAGACTACAGGCATACACCACTACGTCTGGCTAATTTTTCTATTTTTGTACAGAAGGGATTCTCACTCAGGCTGGTCTCAAACTCCTGGCCTCAAGCAGTCCTCCCCCCTTGGCCTTCCAAAGTGCTAGGATTACAGGCTCGAGCCACCACACCCTCCTGACATGCCATATTTTTTATATCACTCAGTTTTTAAAGTTTCCTAATTTCTTCAATGGTCAATGAACACCAATAAGGCTGGCTTTAAATTTCCAAACTACAAGATTTGGGCAGGTTATTTTCTAATTTAATTGTACTGTGGTCTGAAGGTCATTTGTATAACATCAATCTTTTGGAATTTGTTGAAACTCATGCTTTCTAACACAGTGAGGAAAGAGATTATATACGCCAGAAGAGCTTGAAATAAATAATGTGAATTCTCAAGTTGCTGGCCATAAGGTTCTATATATAAATCCATTAGATCAAGATTGTTAACTGTCTTACTCAACTCTTCAAGTCCTTGCTTAATTTTTTGTTGCTTAATCTAACAATTTCTGTGTGAAAATTTTCCCTGTATGATTACAGACTTGCTCTTCTTTCCTTAAAATTCTGTTAATTTTCATATGTATTTTGGGACTAAATTATTAGATACATATAAGTTTAGAGTCTTTTTTACACTGAAGGGTTGTGTTGGCAAATAAAAAAAAGAATTAAAAAAACTCTTAAGTTTAAAATCATTATATCTTTCTGGTTTAGAGCCTTTCTATCTTCCTGGTTAAGTGTTACTTAAATATAACATAAGAGTAATTTTTAACACCAGTAATGCTTGTTATATTTAAGTCTATTCTGTGTGACACTAATATAGTTATATCGATTTTGCTTTGGTGAATACGTGCTTGAAAAATTTCTTTCTATTCCTTTGCTCTCAACTTTTCTGTGTCCTTATGCTTTAGGATGTCTCTTATAACCAGCATAAAGCTAAACAACCTCTGCCTTTACATTGGCTTTTTAATCAATTATAATTAATGATCTGCACCCAAAAAAAAGTCCTTGCAAAGGTTTTGATCTCAGAATGTGTCTTAGCCCATTTGTGCTGCTGTAACAAAGTATCACAGAATGGGTAATTTATAAAAAACAGAAATGTATTTCTCACAGTTCTGAAGGCTGGAAAGTCCCAAATCAAGGCACTGGTAGGTTAGGGCCTAGTCTCTCTGCTTCCAAGATGGTTCCTTGAATGCTGTGTCCTCCAGTGGGGAAGAATGCTACCTCCTCACATGGCAGAAGGTAGGAAGGCAAAAAGGGGCAAACTCCTTCCGTCAAGCCCTTTTATGACAGCATTAATCTGTTTGTCAAATCAGAGCCCTCATGACCTAAGTCTCTCCCAACACTGTTGCGCTGGGGATAAAGTTTCCAATGCAGGAAATTTAGGGGACACATTCAGACCACATTCAGAAAGTCAACATTCGCTCTAGTTTTTCAAAAGTCTCCAACAGTCTTCCTGTCACATTTCTACCTAAAAATCTTAATTAGCTATTTATGCTCTCCAGGTTAAAATACAAATCCCTTGGTATAACACATAAAGCCATTTACTGTCTGGAACAAGTCTGCCCTTTTTTTTTTTGAGACAGAGTCTCGCTCTGTTGCCCAGGCTGGAGTGCCACGGTGTCAGGCTTAAACTCCCGGGCTCAAGCAATCCTTTTGCCTCAGCCTCTCAAGTAGCTGGGACTACAGGTATGTGCTAAAACGACTCACTAATTTTTTCTATTTTTAGTAGTGACGGGGTCTCGCTCTTGCTAAGGCTGGTCTCCAACTATTCAGCTCAACCCATCCTCCTGCCTCAGCCTCCCAGAGCGCTAGGATTACAGGTGTGAGTCACCCTACACAGCCCAGCCTGCCTTTCTTGCCTTATCTCCTACTGCATCTATTTACTTATAAGTATATAAAACTACTTAGAGTTCTTTAGCAATGATGCTCTTTGATACATTTGCATCTGCACATGCTGCCCAGAATGTATCTGTCCCCACTTACTCACCTTGTGAAAGCAAAGTCAATACTCTACCCTTAAAAATCATCTCTTATCTAAGTTGTATAAAGGAAACTAGTAGTTCTTCCTCTGTACTTTTTATTAGCAGCCATATTATGAATCTGGTCTTCATATGTTATATCTCACTATTTTAAATAACAATGTACAAAGCTTATCTGAATAAGTAAAGTCTGAATATTAGAAAATTTAACCACACAGTTTACACAATAGCTATAGTTTGTTAGTATTTATTACTTAAAAGGCATCTTGTATTTCTTTTTTCATTTAATCTTCATATCTATATACATCAAGACAATATCATCTTGATTTAATAGATGAAAAAACTGAGGTTTAAGAAGGTTAAATAGTTTGCCCCAGGTAACAAAGCCACTGAGAGATAAAAATCTAGCTGACCCCAAAATCTAAACATTTTCCACTAAGCCATACTGCCCATCAAATACATACTGTAACTTGAACTAGGCTAACCAAATGTTGCTGTGAAAATGTTCTTTAAATGAAAAAATGACCTACAGATTGGTTTAGAGTGGTTTTTAGAAGTTTAAGTGCACATGAAAATAAATATTTAACCAATTTATGACAAATTACTTTTTTCATAACCTAATTTATATCATAGTATAAATCTTTAAAATGTTTGTTGTCAAAGAAGATAAAAATGCAGATTATCATTTTACTCCGCATAAAAGCTGCTATATTCATACTGTTATAAAACTTTATTAAACTAAAAAATTTTCAATTAAAAGTTAATTGGCATTCAAAGTTAATGGTTTCCTCTTCAGAGCTACCTAAAAAACTTTATCTCAAGACATAATTTATTCAAAATAGAAATTTTTATATTACTTATGTATTCCTGAAGGACGACCCAACCACACTTTCTTATGAATTGAGTTTCTTTTTCTGTCGTATCTGAGGCAAAATTTTTCTTTAAAGAGTTCATGCGCCGGGTGTGGTGGCTCACGCCTGTAATCCCAGCCCCTCTGGGATGCTGAGGCGAGAGGATCGCTTGAGCTCAAGAGTTCAATACCAGCTTGAGCAAGAGCAAGACTCCATCTCTACTAAAAATAGAAAAATTAGCCAGGCATGGTGGTGTGTGCCTGTACTCCCAGCTACTTGGGAGGCTGAGGCAGGTGAATCACTTGAGCCCAGGAGTTTGAGGTTGCTATGTGCTAGGCTAATGCCACGGCACTCTAGCCCAGGTGACAGAACGAGACTCCGTCTCAAAAAATAAATAAATAATAATGAAAAAAATATATAAAGAGTTCATGTAACATTTTATTTAATTTTATTAGAGGTAATCTTAAAGGCTTTTTCTCTGTTAGTGTTTTAAATTCAATGTATTGGTTTTAATTAGGTCATATAACTTAATTTTCAGAACTAACTAAATACCATTACATTGATAATCATTATCAGTCTTCTGGGAATTAACTCCAATCCAAAATGCCAATAACATAATACCCACACACGAAAATTTTAAGGGAAAATAAAAAAAATATAGTGGACAAAAAAGAACATTAAGTTATTCCAATGCCAAATTTCTGAAATTTTCTCACTTCAAAAATTAACTAGATTTTAAAATATGTAATATATCCTTTTATTCCCTTCAAAAAAATATTTGCTTTAAAAACACATACCTTTTTCCTTGTTTAGTTTGTTCAAGTAAGTCCACCTTCAACTTTATACATTCCTCTTTGGACACCTGCAAACTCTGTTCTTTTTCAATTACCATTTTCTGGCTCTGTTCTAATTTTTCTTCTGCTTCCCTATAAAATAAAGGATATTTTTTTTTTTTTTTTTTTGAGACAGAGTCTCATTTGCCTGGGCTAGAGTGCCGTGGAGTCAGCCTAGTTCACAGCAACCTCAGACTCCTGGGCTCAAGCGATCCTCCTGCCTCAGCCTCCCAGGTAGCTGGGACTACAGGAATGTGCCACCATGCCCAGCTAATTTTTTCTATATATATATTTTTAGCTATCCAGATAATTTCTTTCTATTTTTAGTAGAGACGGGGTGTCGCTCTTGCTCAGGCTGGTCTCGAACTCCTGAGCTCAAGAAATCTGCCCGCCTCGGCCTCCCAAAGTGCTAGGATTATAGGCGTGAGCCACCATGCCCAGCCAAAAAATAAAGGATATTTTTAAAAAACTATTAAAGAGATTATTCCAGGTATGCAAGAATAATTCAACATTAGGAATTCTATTACTTTAAATCAATGAGTTAAGAGAAATAAATATATAATAAGAGACAAAGAAAAGGCATATTGATCACTTCTCAAGAGATTTTTTAAAAGGAATAAAAGAATACTTCCATCAAATGAAATACATCTGAAGTAATAGCTCACATGATATTTCATGGCCAGATACTGGAAGCATTACTATATAGATCAGAAACTAGGTAAGGATAACTGTTATCACCCCCACATCTAACAATTTTTCTGACAGATCTACCCACTGCAAAAAGCAAAAATGAAAAAGCAATGAGAAGTATAAATGCTGGAAAGGAAAGACAAATTTACTTATTTGTTGATAATATCATTAGCTACCTGGAAAACCCCAGAGAATCAAAATGAAAACTTATTAGGATAAAAGAATATAAGAAATAGTTCAATTACAAAATAATTATATTATACAAAAATCAGTAGCCTTTCCATATACTAGCAATGAATAGGATGGGAACAAATTCACAATAACCAAACATATAAAATACCCAGGAATAAACTTAAAATAATACATATAACAAAGAAAATTACAAAATTCTGATGGACATAAAAGACAACTTCAGTGTATATCAGAATCATCTGAACTTGTTAAAACACAGATTTCTGGGTCTCACCTCCCCGTTTGTAATTCAGTAAGCCTGAAATGTGACCTAAGAATTTGCATTTCTAACAAGTTCCCAAAAGATGCTAATACTACTGGTCCCATAACTACACTTTTAGAACAAATAGAGTAATATGCTATTTAATATACATATATTTCCCACTTCATTCAAAGCAGAAGAGGAGAATAAATTATAAAGTGCCTGATTCCTTATATTTTATTTCTTGAACTCCCATTGAAGCACTGGATATATATTGCTATGCAGAGCAAGAAATGAACTAATTCATATATAACAACAGCACATTAATAAGCATCTCAGCTTAGATCTAGTCTTTTTTAGCCTCTATATACTACATGCAACCTGCAGTCAAGAGGAGTTATGAGTGACTGAAAACAGAGTCCATACGTTCCAAGACAAATGGTCACTATATTACTGGGGTAGAAGTGGGGGACAAGATTTAACAAGATTTAACACAAAGTAGAAGTAGAAAATAAAAATTTTAAAGCTATAAAAAGTATATTTACCTCAAAACTTTATCTTGGGCTGCAACTTCTGCTTCTAAACTTATAATCTGCTCTTCTAAGATTGGGACACTGGCTGCCTGCCGTTGAGCAGACTCAAGCATAGAAACCTAAAACATAAAACAACTTTTAGAGTACTTTCTTTCAGAAAATAACTTAATCTTGGTCTTTAGTTTTTTTCCTGCCAGAGAAGGTTCAATAGGACTCCTCAATCATTAGTCAAATGTAAAGCTCATCCTATCTATTCCTTTGATCAACATTTACATGGGCATGTCATCATCGTAAGCCAGTCTCAGCATCTAACCTCCTGCTATTACCCTCAACTTAATATTCCAATATAACTGATTAGCTATTTGAGGGAAAAAATAGAATCTCTATTGATACCATCTAGGAAGACAGAAAATTAGACATAAAGTACCAAACTATTAAAAATTGTATAAGAAAATACTCAATAAATTTTATTATTTAAACTTAATTTTAGAATGCATGCTTACTAGAGAAAATCTTTAGATAATACAGAAAAGCACAGTAATCCTACAACCTATAACAGAGTGCAACTATTGTGGTAGGGTAGGAATCTTACAATCTAAATGGTGTGGAAGAGAATATCAATAAGAGAACTAATTATCTCTGAAAAAAATTTTAGGACATGAACGCATGAGGTACAGTAGAGGACAAGGGTGAGGTCCTAGATGGAAAACCAGGGATATAGTTCAAAGTCTCTGGAGATAACAGTCACTCTTTTTCCCACTCCCAGAACACTAACAGCAAGGCAATAGCCTACCAGAAAAGAGGCAGAAGGTTTATTATCTGAAGAAACTGAAAAAGAGAGGCTTGGGACTCTGGGACACTAGGTAAAATGATGAGCAGGGATGAGGTAAACCTATAAACAAGGGGATTAATATAAAACCATCAAACTCCAGTTTACTAATCCATCTCATTTAGGGCTACCCCACAGGTGGGAAATCAAAGGATCCTTTGCTAGAGAAACTCAACAGCTCCAAAGAAAAAGACTATCACAAGCTAATAGTTGTGGGTAGTTGGGTATTTCCCTACAAAAGAACCACCCGCCCCCAAACCATCACTCACAAATGAAGCCCACTGCACAACTTCACCAATACATAGAGAGCTTTCAAACAACATTTAAATGCTTTTCTCTTAAATATGAATAGCCAAAACACTAATATCTAAAAAAACCTTCTAACATGAAAATCAGAGATCCAAACAAAAGAAAAAAGAAAGTAGCAAGCAAAGCAAACATAAGAAAAAAATTATTAAAATTTCAAAGTGCTAAGAGAGGATACTGCATCAGGATGTTATGAAATATAAAACAATCAGAGAATAGGAAAAAGCCTCAGAAAATGAAAAAAGTATGACAGTCAAAATAAGAGATTCAATAAAAGTATAAAAAATAACAAGACGAAATCTCCTAAAAAGAATCACAGGAAGACAAGGAGATGAAAAATACCAGAAAAAAATCTACAAGATTTAGAGGACCAATCCAGGTGGTCCAATATTTACCAAATAGGAAATATAGAAGAAAACAAGGGAAAAAATTATCAAAAAGATGTAAGAAAAATTACTAGGAACAAAAGACACAAGTTTCCAGCCTGAAAGGTCCCCTGTGTACCCAACATGAGTAATAAAGTGCTATTCAAGGACACATTGTTATGCAATTTTAAAAATCAGGGAAAGAGGGAAGACCTAAAAACTACCATAAAGTGAAAAACAAAGGGGAAAAAAATTACAAGCTAAGGAAAATGATTAACAATGGCATTAGACTTTTCAAAGTAGCATTAGAGGATAGAAGAAAGTAATATCCTAAAAATCCTGATATAAAATAATTTTCAACCTGGAATTCAATTATGAGTGGGAGAGAAATTAAGACATTTTCAGACAGGAAAGGAAGCAACTAGAAGATATGCTCCAATTATACAAAGAATATATTAAGAAAGAACATGAGATTCAGGAAATGGTAGATTCAATGTAGAATAACATCAGAGAGAAGTTCCAGGATGGCAGCTGGACGGTAGGCCTGAGGGGCAAAAGGCTCAGAAAGAGCAGGATGTCAGAAGTGTTAAGTACAAACATTGCCAGGGGTTTGTACCTATAATCCTAGCACTTTGGGAGGCTGAGGTGGAGGATTGCTTGAGGCCAGGAGTTCGAGACCAGCCTGAGCAACATACCAGTACCCTACCTTTACTAAAAATAGAAAAATTAGTCGGATGTGGTGGCATGGGCTTGTAGTCCTACCTACTAGGGAGGCTGAAGCAGGAGAATCCCTTGAGCCCAGGAGTTTGAGGCTGCAGTGAGCTACAATTGTGCCACTAACCTCCGGCTTGGGGCAGAGTGAGACCCTGTGTCAGAAAAACAAAAACAAATTGCTAAAAGGTAAATTATGAATATACTGATTGAGCCAAGAAGGCTTTTCAGCAAAAGATTTCCAAGGTTGGCATATATGCAACATCAAAAGGTCAGACCTGCCCTGAAAAAGGCAGCTTCTCATTGTTATAATATTTAAACAATTTAGAAAATGCTGAGCTGGGAAGTAAAATTCCAATGTCTGTCTTACTGCCTAGAATAAATAACCACTGGTGAGTTTTTTGTGTTGTTATTTTTAGAGACAGGGTATTATTTTCTCACCAGGTTGGGATGCAGTGGCACAATCATAGCTCACTATAGTCTACAACTCCTGAGCTCAAGTGATCTTCCTGCCTCCTGAGTAGCTGAGACTACAGGCACGCACCATCATGCCTGCCTAATTTTATTTTTTTTTAGAGATAGGGTCTCATTCTGTTGCCCAGGCTGGTCTCATATGCCTGACCTCAAGCGATCCTCATGCCTTGGTCTTCCAACATGCTGGGATTACAGGTATGAGCCACCACACCTGGCCCACTGCTGTGTTTAGGAGGGCTGTTGGGAAAGTATCCAGCCATTGTTAATATGTAATTTTCATATTACATGGTTGGATACTTTAGGCCTCATGTATTCTAAAAAGAAAGGTCCACAAGACTATTATTATTTCCTTTAAATAATTAAGTATTTATGACTTTAAAAAGAGACATTATCTACAATTGAAGAAAAATTTAAAATATAATTAATAAACAGAAAAGCTGAACAAATCACAAAGAAATCTAAATGGCAAACAAATACACTGAAAAGGTAAACCTCATAAGAAATCAAGAAAAATAATATTTTTCCCTTAAAGTGACCAAAAAATGTAGAATACTTAATGTTGAGTGCAATAAATGCCTGCGAAACACTTTTTCCCTGTAATTAGGTCATTCTGCCTCTGGAAAGCTATCCTAGAAATAATCCCAAACACCAAAGAGGTTTTATGTTCAAGTTGCATCTTTCCTCCTTGGGCTGAAATAATCCCTAATAGCACTTTGTTTTCTTTGAAAGATATAAAAGAAAAATAAAGCTTACTCATAATTCTTCTACTTAAAACTATATATGTAATATATATATAATGTCTGTAAAAGAAAATAGTTAAAGCTCCACTCTAACCTTCCAATCCCTCTTGAAATTATCAACAGTATGGAGCAGTCTTTCTTTCCTTATATACATATGTATATCTACACACAAACATACTCACGTGCACACTTTATAAAAAGCAAAACAGGTCATTATAGGTGTGTACTGCTGTATGTTTTTATACCACTAAATATATTAGATAATAATTTTTGAATGCTTATTATATACACTGTTCTGCCTTTACACATGTCATTTAAACCTCATAATGATTCATATAAGTCAAACAACTTTGCAACTTAGTACTGAAATATTTATCTCTTTTTTTTAAAAAGGCTTTGTTGCTATCCATTTTATGGGCATACCATAATTTACCATGACTACTGTTGGATATTTTAGTTTCCTCTATTATAATTTTTTGTATAATACCAATCACACAGCAAAAAATAGGACACCACTGAAATAGGGGAATTATTAACTAAGATACATTATGATCACATACTGGAACGTAAGGCTATCATAAAAAATGATCAATAGAAAAGCTATGTAAATGCCTCAGAAAATGCTTAGACTATATATGAAGTAAAAAAATAGGAAAAAACAAAACTATTTAAAACAGCCTGGATTGAACCATGTAATAAACCAATAAAGTGGTTTCTAGATGGAGGAAATTCTGGGTGGTCTTTCTCCCTCTTCAGGTTTTCAAAGATGAGAATGTATTATTTTAAAAAGGAAGATAAATAAGCTATACTTCCTTTACGTAAAAATAAAATCACACAAATTGGTAATTTTGACTTTTTAAGAAGCTGACTTAACTAAATGCAAAAACTATAAAGTTCCTCTAAATCATTTTCAGATATAAAATTCATATAAAATTAATTTCATAACATGTTGATACTATAGTATAATATCATAATAAAAATTACTACACATAACACACTAAGACAATATAAGGAATATTTTTCCAATTATAAATCTTAAAATGATTACAACTATTTTCTGTTGGCATACTCATGATTCAAGACACATACTTTTGCTCTTGACTGTGTTAATTCAAAGTGGATAGATTCTATCTTAGTCATTAAAGAATGATTCTGTGTGACCAAACAAGCATTCTGTTGCCTAAGTTTATTAAGTTTCTCTCGAAGGCTTTTAATCTCCTGCTCCACAGAGGTAGAAGATGAAAAAGACATCTGAAAAATGAAAAAGAACAATCTATTTTGAATTATTTCAATTAAGGATTACATGTAATTAATGGAAAATGATGAACAATTATGAATAAGATGACTAAGCAGCTCAGAAAAAGAGTTAAAATATTTAGTGAGTGCTGACAAGAACATGTGGGACAATGAGTACTCTCTCCTCCACTGCTGGTGGAACTGCACATAAGTACAACTTGGAAAACAGTAGTATACTTTGGAAAACTTGGTATTATCCAGTAAAGCTGAATATGCTAAGACCCAACAATATCATTCCTGGGTATAAATCTGATAGAAATTTTTATACTTTTGCAACTAAAGATATTACACAAAAATATTCATAGCTACATTGTCCACAAGACACAATAAATGGAAAGAACATTTGAGTTCAACAAATGGATAGTAGATAAAATATTCTTTAATCCATCTATTTTTATTATACTCTTTTTACATGTATTTTATAATAAATTATTTTAATTTTCATGAAGGTTATAATTTTCAAAACATCTTTTAATTAATTTTAGTTTTCTGAGTGATATATTTATGTAATTCAAAAGTCAAAACGATATGAAAGTATACACAGCATTCTCCTTCCCATCTTTAGTAGGTAGGTAACCATTTTTGTAAGTTTCTTGCTTAGTCTTCTAGTGATTCCACATGCATATACAAGCAATACAAATTACTCATTTCCCTCACTTCCATATGCAAAAACTAGCATATTATATATACAGTTCTGCACTTTGTGTTTTACTTGAAAAATATATAGCCTCTCCATAATCAATACATTGAGAAACTCTTACCCTTTTTTTTCTCAACTGCATAGTTTTCATTGCATGAACAAACCATTAGTTTATTCAACTAACCCACTACTATTGGACACTTGAGCTATTTCTAATCTTTTAATGTGACAAACAATGCCTAATTTTGTGCCTGGTCAGGTGTACCTGTAGGATAGTTTTCCAGAAATGGAAGTTCCAAGTCAAGGTAAATGTATTTGTAATTTTGGTAAATATTGCCAAATGCCTCTCCATAGTGTTACATCATTTTGCACTCCCACTAGGCAATGTATGTGCCCCGGAATATCACCAACGAAATATACTGTCAAATATCGGGACGCTTAACAATTTGACAGGTAACAACTGGTATTTAAGTATAGTTTCATTTTAAATTTCTCTTAATATAAGTGAGATTGGACACCTTTTCATTAGTTTGAAGAACATTTTTCTTTTCCATTCATGTCTTTTGCCCAGGGGTTATTGATTTTTTTCTTCTTTCTAGGAGCTCTTTACATATTAGAGAGATTAGCCCTTTGTCTTTGATATGCATTACCAATATTTTTTTCCCCTATTTGTGATTTGTCTCTTGATTTTCCTCATGGTAAAACACAATGATTTCCACTAGGGCATATATATAATAAAAATGATCACCAATATGAATTAGGATAGAGATCAAATTTCTCAGAATTACATACTCTTTGCAGACATGGAATTTGAATATATTTCTAAAATGTAGGCTCAGAAAGCTTCATTAAGCAGCTTCCTATTCAGCAATCCCACTACTGGGTATCTGCCCAAAGGAAAAGAAATCATTGTATCAAAGATACCTGCACCCCTGTGTTTATCACAGCACTATTCACAATAGCAAAGATATAGAATCAACCTAATATCCCTCAACAGATGATTGGATAAAGAAAATGTGGTCTATGTGTGTGTGTGTGTATATATATATATGTTATATATATATATATATATACACACACACACACACACACATACACACACAATGGAATACTATTCAGCCATTAAAAGCATGAAATAATCTCTCTGAAGCAACATGGATGGAACTGGAGGCTATTACCTTAAGTGAAACAACTCAGACACAGAAATACCTCATGTTCTCACTTATAAATGGGAGATAAATAATGTGTACACATGGACATAGAGTGTAGATTAACAGACACTGGAGACTTGGAAGGGCGGAGGGGTGGATGATGAGAAATTCCTTAATGAATACAATCAATGTATACTATTTGGGTGATAGATATACTGAAAGCCCAGACTTCACTACTATGCAATATATCCATGCTATAAAATTGCACTTGTACTCCTTAAATTTATACAAAAAGAAAATCTCTTATTAGTTGGCTTTCTGAAAGGGAAAGATCAAATTTGTATCCAAAAAGTTTATGCTGTGTATATGCTACCCATATCTGTGTATATGCATACTGGGGTGAGGGAATAAAGAACAGAAAGGAGAGTGGAAAGGGAGATAAAAAGTTTGAGTAAGGAAGAGGGATAAATACAGGTAGACAGATAATATAACAGAATAAGAAAGAGGGAAAGAGTTCCAGACCAGGAAAAGATCTCTAACATCATCAACAAAACTTAGGGATAATGAAAGAAGAATAGTGCCATGCTATCAAATAGTACTGGATCCACACTAAACGATAGGTGTACTTTAACTACTTAATAAATAATTAGTGATCTATTATGTATAGGGCATAGTGCTAAAATCAAGGGGATTATAATTTACCTCAGTAAAGAACACATTTAACTGCAAAAAGGTAATAAATATAGATGCTTAAAAATAGAGTAATATACCAAGATAACTACTTTCTTGTTGGGACATAAAAAGAACAATTATATTTAAATTCTTAGGAACCAAAGACTATAGAAAACATGAATAAAGCATTTAAACAAAAACTGAAAGAAAAAATATTTTAAGTAGACTGATCTAAAACTAAAACTACTTTTAAGTAAGTAGGTCTAAAAACAATAACCTTATCTCTTGGCTTTTTTTGAAAGTCAGCACTGCTACCAGACATTTTACAAACTTTTTTATAAGGTGAGTAATTCAAAAGTCCAGGGTGGCTAGTCTGAACAAGATCTTCCAAAATGGGCCCTTCAGACTTTGAGGGATTAGAGGCATAATCAGATTTTTCACTTGGACTAACACTAGGGAAAAAAGAAAAACATATTTTAGTTTTTAGATAGTTTAAGTATTTACTACAAATTGCTATACATTAAACAAAAAAACAAAAAGAACCAGAAATGCTGCTGACAATTAGATTCACAGTTATGAACATAAGGCAATGTTTCCACTAAATTTTAAATAAACCATAATTAGTTTTAAACTAGCAACCTATGCATTTCCAGAGCCTCTATGCTAGGATTACTTAGGATTCAAAAAATAGTCATAATAATAAGACTAATAAATCCCAAAATATATATTTTATACTCTAAATTCTAACACATTAAAGGTGTTTTTACAAATGTAAGTGCTGCTCTAATATTCATATTTTTCCTTAAACTGAGAGTTATATTAAAAGCACAGAGACTGGGCATGGTGGCGCCTGCCTATAGTCTCAGCTCCTCAGAAGGCTAAGGCAGGAGGACTGCTTGTGCCCAGGAGTTTGAGGCTACAATGAGCTATGATCACACCACTGCACTCCAGCCTGGGTACAGTGAGTACTTGTCTCTAAAAAAAAAAAAAAAGTAAGTATAGGCAATTATTTCTTATTCCAGAGGTATATTAGAAACACAATATATATTAATGAAATCTATACATTTTATATTCACAAATTAAAGTCATACTCTGAATTCTGCATGTGATCAAACTTACTTACATGGATAACTCTTCCCCTAAATTTTGCAAACTCCATTCTGTTATCTTCAGTTCATGTCTTAAGGAAGCAACATTTGCAAGCAAACTTTCTTCTTCAGTGTCTTTATTATAGTAGTCTGAAGAACTAGATTCCATTTCTTAAAAAAAGAAATTAATTTTTTGTACTTGCCTGAAAGATTCTGTTGTTCCAGTCAAAATACTCTCACGCTAATAGAATTTAACTCATTATTCTCCTATTTCAAATGCTGTGAAATCTTTCACAGTGGTTTAAAACAAAACAAAAAAACCAACAACAATGAATTTCTCTGATACGTAAAGCCATAATGGAAAGTTAATACAATTTCAATAGATAAATTTTGCATATTAGCCATGGTCTAGTTATGATAGTTCCCCTTTTCCAAGCACATTTGATCTTCCTAACAATTGTGTAAACTAAGTATTTTTATTCCATGTTAAGGAAACTAAGAATCAAATAACTTGCTCAAAATTATACAAACTGTAAATAGTGACATCAAGATTTCAATCCAGGTCATCAGGATCCAAAGACCTTTTAATTATGTCACACTGTACTTTTCTAACTTATTATTATACATCAATTTCAATAAGAGGTGTTTGAACTTTCACAATCATATTACAAGTTCTGCACATCTGATAAAATGGTATCATAACAGTCATTCATATTTTCTTGGAAGGCAATTTACTACCAGATAAAAGTTATCTCCTCCTCCCATTCAAAATGGTTATAAAATTTAAAAAACACACACTCACATTTATAAGTCACAACCACAGGGATCAAAATGACATTTGGCAGGTCAGTCATAGAAATATATGAAGAAAAGCTTTGATTCTTCAATGGATGATTATCTCTAGGGTCATGAAACTCTTTACCAAATTCCTTTGCATACAAAAAAATCATGGTAAAGCACCACATTGTAATTAATACAATTAAAACCTAAAGCTTTATAATCTCTACTATTCCTGTATATCTTTCTGCATAATCTTAAAATTACACTTGCCTTTCAGATCCCATTTACATTTTTCATTGTAGCATCTTTCCTCGTCCTTAGAATTTTGACCGCACTCCAACCTCCAAAAGGTTAGGAGTCCTGTGCATTATGTTCAGGACTATAATGTACTTAAAGAAGCTCAATATTTTGAATGATTACTAAACTGTCCATTCTTCCCCTCATCTGGCTAGAATAGTATGCTACATTTATTTCCCACTCAAAAATTCCCAGATGTAGGGAGGAAAATTAAAAAGAATACTCTCACCTTATCGGAAGAAACTGTGGTAGGAAAGATGCTATGTATTCTTAATAGACAAACTGTTTCTATTCGCTTTCCCCTTTTGTTTCCACAAATTTGCTTCTGCTTAAAGTGAGAAGACTCTCCCAGACAGAAGTCAATGGATCAGGTCCTCATCCTGCTTTATCTATTCCACGTCTCCAGCTCCCTGTACAATGGTGAAGGAGAAAAGGGGAGAGAAAATTGGGCGAATTCTAAAATGCCATTCGGTATTATATTGTTGCCACCCAGCCAGGTTCATTTACCTGCTGCCCAAGAAGAAGCCAATATGCTGAGTCAACAGGTTTTACGGCGGAGAGTGAGTCTTTATTGGGCCTCTTGCCAACCAGGGAGACAGGAGAAATTTCTCAAATCCACCTCCCTGACAACTTGGGAGACAGGGTTTTTAAGGACAGTTTGCTAGGCCAGGGATTAGGCAACCAGGTTTTTTAATTAGGGCAAAATTATAGGGGTGTAGGAATCATCTTCTTGTATTATTTCAGTCCTGGGGATCCCAATTCCAGTTGAGTCGGTTTCTCGGAATGGGCCGCTGGTCTGGGTGGGTCAATCCATCCACCGGAATGCAGGGCCTGGAAGATATCTTAGAAACTACCTTTACGTTTCAAATGGTGATGTTATCTACGGAGAAAGTTAAGAATCTCTATGACCACCAGCTGTGTGGCTCCCGGACTGCCAATTAAAGGGGGACAGTTGCTAATTATCGTCATTATTTTTAGCTAGGCCTTTACCACAGTTGTCACTTGTGCACCCCGTTATTGAAGGGCGTTTCAGTGTTTCACCTTAAATCAGGTTTTATGTTCAACATCTGACTATTTTAATGTAAGAATTCTCTAACTTTTCTGAACTAGTAATGAATACATCTGATATTCAAATATTTTAATTTTCCTAGTGGGCCATTTACTGTCAAATAATGCTTGCTCCTCACTTCAATTTACAGTAGTTATTTTAAAAAGCCTATCTTCATTGCCTATAAAGGCACATCATCCTACTCACAGACCCTAACAACGTTATCCTTGAGCCCTAATTAACAATGCGTTTGTAGTTTTGCACACGCATACCCATCACACGAAGGACAAATGTTCTTTTATATCCCCGTATGTGATAGAATGGGTTGTAGTCGAAAAAGATCCCTCATTTTGAAAAGCAGCATATCTTTACATAGTAGTCTCCTGTCTCAAGAACACAATGAGGTGGAGGAAAACTTGACATGCTCCTTTGCAATGTTTCCTCAAATAAAATACAACCCTGCAGAGCGACATACCCAGCAACCTTGGGGACCAGGCGAAGCGCAAACACGGCGTCGGGAGGGAAAGGAACAAAACTCCCCGAGATAGGCCGGTTTCCACCCGCAAGGCGCAGTCACTCACCACCCAAGTCGCAGCTGTGAAGACACCCAATCGAAGACTACGAACGCCGCACTTGGAAGCGTCGGACCCTATCCTAGGCCTCTGGCCACGGAAGCCTCAGACACCCGACGCGGGGAACCAGCGAACCCTGGCCGCGCAAAGTTCGAACGGCGGCGGGAGCCGTTGGGTCGCACCTCCCTGGGAACAACCCCGCCCCCCGCGCACAACCCCGCCCCCCGCGCAGCCTCTGGTGAGGCGACGCCGGAGGCGCGGAGCCTGCTGGGGATGGTGGTCGGCGAGCGCGTTTACGCCCGCTCGGCGAGCTTACCCGGGACTACATTTCCCACAATTGCCGCCACGACGCCCATGGGTGTGGGGGAAGGAATGGGAACCTGCGGTCGTCAGGGTGTGAGGCGGCCGGCGCTCACGCCAGGCCTGCAGGGGCCAAGACTGAGGAGGTTGCGGAACAGGACTGCTGGTCCCGCCCTCAGTCTCTACCCTTTCGAGGACTGCGTTTCCCCTCCGAAGGGAGAGTTTGCCGCCGCCGCGGCCGCCACCTGGAGTTGCTTCAGATTTCAGTTTCCCTGCCAACCACGAGGAGTCCAGGGAGGAAGAGCAGAGCCGAGACGCCAATATACACCTCCCACGCCGCTTTCTGCCCGAGATCGCCCCAGCAGGGATGGGCGTTAGGATCTGGTTGCCCTTCCCCATGCTACTCCTGGCCGCTCTGCCTCCCGTGCTGCTGCCTGGGGCGGTCGGCTTCACGCCCTCCTTAGACAGCGACTTCACCTTTACCCTTCCGGCCGGCCAGAAGGAATGTTTCTACCAGCCCATGCCCCTCAAGGCCTCGCTGGAGATCGAGTACCAAGTAAGTGCGGAGGTGAGCCAGCCTCCTTCCTTTAGCCCAGATGCTCTGCCTGTTAGCCTCTCAAACTTCCTGTGGACGGCCGGGCGGTGGGGAGGCGAGGGCCGCCAGGGAAGCGGGCCAGCTCCGCCCAGGCGCGCGAGGCTCCGCGAGGCTCTTGCGGGGGCCGGAGTAGTTACGCGCGGGACCCGGAATTGACGACTACTGGCGGTCTACCCTTTCCTCCGGTCGGAAAGAGGCCAAGAACTGGTGATGTCGGTGGCTTTTCTCTGTTTCATAATTCGCCCATCGCTTTTCTAGCCAGTACACGCTCTGATACTGAGAATTTCACAATACGGGACTGATACACGTTCTCCTTCATCATTGGGCGAGGTGATGACACTTGTTTGAGTCACCCCCACCGATTTCACCCAGTTCCAATATTATAAATCTACACTGTCTTTGCTTCAATTAAGGATTTTTAAATTGTGCTTGTGTAATTATTACTAAACCCGATTTTGAAATATTTTGAAAGAGGCTGTTGCTGTATTTAATGGTACATTTCTGTTTCAATTATATACCCATTATTTTCAAACTAAGTAAGATCAAATCTTGTATTAAAACTTTATAACATTTCTTTCATTGAGCATCGTATTTGCCTCGTGTCATTGTTTTCTTCTTAGTATCTGCATAATACTGTTGGGGAATTGCCTTATTTTATGTAGTTATTCTGGTAGGGGGTAATTAGAAGAAATTTTGTTAGTTCCACACAGCTAATTTCGATGTTTCCAGGTAGCAGTGCAAAAAAAAGATGCGTTGATGTGTTTCATCTTTCAGTTTTTTTTACAAGTTAATTTTTAATCGAATGTTAATTTTTTAAAGTTGATATAGAGAATTTTTTTTTAATACTAGGTACTGTCACAGAGCAAAATAAAAAGTTATATAGAATTTTTATCTGAAGGAACTTTAGGATTCGGTTACATATAGATGTATAACGTAAATACAGAGAATAAAGTATCTAGTCACACAGTGAGCAAAACTGAGGCTAGAACTCAGCATTTCTTGATTTCCAGTAAAGTTCAAAAGTTCAACATTTACTAAAGAGTTAATATGTGCCAGGAATTGTACCAGGGGAATAAAAAAGAAAGAATAAAAAAAAAGAAGCCCTCTTCTCAAGGAGTTTAATAAGGATTACTGGCTCATACCTAGGTTATTTCAATAAAGTATAGTTAAGTGCTAGTAGAGGAGGGTCAGTTCTATGGGTTACAGCAGAAGATTTCTGGCGAAAATAAAATTTAATCTAGAAAGATGCTTATGTGAGACAGCAATGCAAGGAACAAGGGGCATTTCAGGAAGGGGAACAAAATGAATAGACACATAGTTCTGAAAATGCACAGGGTGAGTGTTTGCGGGTAGGTAGTATGTAACACTGAGTTTCCTTAGACTTTAAGACTGTAAAGCTTAGGGTGGGAGTGCCGGAAAGGCGATTGGAGAGGCCAGGAGGCTGGGGTCATGGATCATGAATCATAGCTTTGTGTGCCATGCTAGTAGCTTTCCCCTTATTTTGTACAAGGCCATTTAAGAATTAAGCAGATCACTGAGTGCGGTGTGGAATACTGGTTGAAGGGAAGCAAAATTAAAGGCAGTGAAACAACTAAGGGGTTAGTGAAATAGTCCAGATAAGAAAACAATTTGTATTAATCAAAATTCCTCAGTATTTACCCATATCTTAGGGAGGAAATCTATTTTAAGTACTGATCTTTTATGGTCAATAGCTCTAGCTCTTAACCTTAGCCTGAGTTCAAATCTTGACTCTGCCCCTTAAAGCTTGTGTGATCTTCTCACTTGTAAAATAGAGATAATAATTGTAACTACCTCATCTGGAAAAAATGGGTTAATAAATGCTCATAGACTATCCCTGACACATAGTAAATATTCAATTAGTTTTACATTTACACCTTTAGAGTGATATAGCTGTCTTGGGTTAGCTTTATTCTTTGCATCTTTAGTCACTCTTAAAGGGACTGTGGGACTGTTCCTCCAAAGCATTCTCCTAAACAATTGTGTGGGTTTTTTTGTGTTGTGTTTGTTTATTTGTTTGTTTTGTTCTGTTTTGGTTTTTGGAGATGGTCTCTCTTTGTTGCCAGGGCATGAGGGCAGTGGCATGATCATAGCTCACTGCAATCTCAAACTCCCAGGCTCAAGTGATCCTCCTGCCTCAGCCTCTTGAATAGCTGGAACTACAGGCGTACACCACCATTCTCGGCTAATTTTTTTTCTATTTTTTGTAGAGATGGGATCTCGCTCTTGCTTAGGCTGGTCTCTCACTGCTGACCTCAAGCAGTCCTCCTGCTTCAGCCTCCCAAAGTGCTGGGACTACAGGTGTGAGCCACAACTCCCAATTGTTTGATTAAGGAAAGAAGTAAAGTCATGTAATGTCTGTAATCCCTAGACAGTGTTGCAGGGGTTTGTAGGGCGAAAATCATCTTCTGTCCTTTGTACATTTTCCAACTTGTTTAATTTCCCAGTAACTACTCACTACTGATTTTTGTCTTAAAGTTAGTTTTTTAAATGTTACAGAATAGACATTCCAACATTGCCCTTGGTTACTGTGACATATTGAAAATTTTTAATCATTTCTTGCTTTTTAGGTAGTGCCAGTACATAACATCTTATGAATAAAATAGATCATTTAAAAATTTAAATTATTGTTGAGTGCTTAATATGTGTCAACACTATCCTAGCTGCTAGAGATACAATGGTGAGTAAAAATATAGTCCATGCCCTCATACAATCAAGTATGGGGACATACATTAAT